GATGAGCTTCTGGAGACTGTGACTACTTCAGAGTCTTCCCACGAGGGCTTTAGAGTCTGGATCACAACAGAGGCACACAACCAGTTTCCCATCAGTCTTCTGCAGGTAAGGGTGTGGTTTATACCTTCCAGTGTGAATAGTGACAAGTTTTTCCTGTCTTCTATTTCCTGAAACTTCTTTTTTGTACTTGTTCTTAAAATTTCGCCTTCGTGTGTAAAACGGAGGATGAATCCCCGACTTAGGAGACATCTGGAGATGTGCGAATATGGCCGGAGTTGTTGTTGAGGGCTCCAAGATACTCAAGAGACAAGAAGCATTGCTATCGCGAAGGACTTGATCTCTTCTTAAATAACTAGCTTTATGTTTTGTTCTAAACGCTTAGCTGTTACAAAACACATTACATGTTAAAGAATTTTCCCATTTGCTCACAAACCCAAAGAATCATTTATGAATATAACTTAAGTACGGCTGTTTCTCTCGTAGTCTTCAATCAAATTTACAAATGAGCCGCCACAAGGTGTGAAACCAGGACTGAAGAGAACTTACGCTGGCATTACTCAAGATCAGTTGGATGTCACTAACATGCCTCAGTGGAAGCCAACTCTGTATGCTGTTGCTTTCTTGCATACTGTCGTTCAGGTCAGGAGAGATGTTCTCTACTCAACTCCTTACCGGAAACTTTTTGCACCGGTGCAGTGCACATTGAACGTATTGTTGTTAGTTTAAAAAACTACATCTACCCTTTCACGAGTGTCTCATTGCTGTCACGGATATGGGTTGGCTCATTCATCCCAGCTATTGAGGTCGACACAAATGCTGTCGGAGTTTGCACGTTCATTATTTCTTTTACTGCTCTCCTGCTGTCAAAGCCTCCAAAAGCTGTGGCTTTTTTTCTCTGCCTTAAAGGGGATATTTTGAATATACGGCTTCTTAGTTCGTTATTGGTTTGAAGTACTTTTTCAACATATTTTGTCAGTAACGTATTCCATTTCAACAGGAAAGGCGTAAGTTTGGTCCTTTGGGCTGGAATATCCCTTACGAGTTCAATCAGGCCGATTTTGCCGCGAGTGTGCAGTTTGTCCAAAACCACTTGGATGATATCGATCCCAAAAAGGTACTCAGCTCGCGATTTAAACTTACAATCTCCTTTTCGTTATTTTAACGTCACTTTAACTGTAATTCTTTTCTAATTGTTACAGGGCGTGTCTTGGAATACAGTGAGGTACATGCTGGGAGAAGTGCAGTACGGAGGAAGGGTCACGGATGATTATGACAAGCGCCTGTTGAACACATTTGCTAAGGTAATAGCATTGTCGAGAATTCCTTTTTTCCTCAAAGCACTTCGTGTCAGTGACCTTCGTTAATTTCGTTTTTGTGTCCTGCGGTTTTCGATTCTTACAACTATTCGACGATAAAACAGTTCATTATACGGCTAAACGGAATTAAATGATCAACAAAGAACCCCACACATGTGCAAATGTATAAGCATGGCCCATCAACTTTAGGACTCAATTGTCGCCAACCATTTTTCGGGGTAAGAAAAAGTCTTTATTCGAGACTCCCATAGCTTTCCTGACACACGACATCATTACCTTTCGATCTGCAATCAAGGGTGTTAATCTGTGAACCACAATGTCCTTCTTGTACTAAAGAACCGCGACATTTGTCATTGCATTAACGTCGTGGTTTTGTTTCAGGTGTGGTTCGGAGAGCACATGTTCACTGAAGACTTCTGTTTCTACACTGGTTACAAGATCCCTAAGTGTCGTATTTTGGAGAATTTCTTCGAGGCTATTCAAGCTCTCCCATCTGTGGACACGCCTCAAGTGTTTGGCTTGCACCCAAATGCAGATATCACGTAAGTTAATCTTCTTTTCATTTTCACAAACAAACTACGATTCACAAATCAACATGATACATTCCAATTGCCATCTCTCAGTATTTTTATTTGGGGAAAACATCTCTTTCATCCGTTAAAAGGAACGGCTGTGAAAAGACGGATGGCAAACTAGGAAACTTAATAGGCATATAGAGTGTAGACAGGAAATGTGTTTGGCTTATTTCCTCTCGGCAGTTTATCTTTACCAGACTCGAAATAATTTCCTGTCAGGTTGTCCCGTCAAACCTATTTTTTATCGGACACAATCCAGTTTTTGCGAGAGAAATATCCATCACGTAATGAGCATCTCAATAAATCTTCCTCCCCCCCTCCTACTTAATAAAATTAACCTATTCACTCCTCTTCTTGCAGAAGGAGCCTTGAACTCGATACAGGAAAAGCGATACAGCCGTAACGTTCGGCAAAATCAATGTTAATTTGTTGTTTCAGATTTATGCATACCGTTAAACATCAATACCCATTATAGTTAGCAAGCTGATAAACTATTCAATTTGGGACGCAAGTGTCCGATTTTGGACACTAGTGTCGATTTTGAACGTTAGTGTCCAATTTTGAACACTAGCGTCTGATTTTGGACACTAATGTCCGATTTTTGACGCTAGTGTCTGATTTTGGAGACTAGTGTCGGAAAACCTATATTTGACAGGACATTGTCCATTGAGCTGCCGTAATTTCGAGGTCTGCTTTAGGATGTCCTTTCACTTACCCGTAGTTTTATCCCCTCGTAATCCACAGCATCCGCGCTAACATTCCTCACCCTCATTCGCCACTTCTATTCACTCCTTTGCAACAAAGAACTGCTACCGTCGTATTTCCTGCGACTTGGTCTCATTTCTTAGTTTATTTCTTCAACAAATTTTCTAATATCAGTTGTTTTGTTATCTCTTTTCTTGCCTTTCAGATATCAGAGCAATACAGCTAAAGAGGTTCTGGACACCATCATGAGCATCCAACCTAAAGACTCAGGGGGAGGATCTGGGGAGACTCGTGAGAGTGTAGTCACCAGACAAGCAGATGACATGCTGGATAAACTTCCGAATGATTACGTACCACACGAGGTAAGAAAGATGTTTGTATCGTAGTGAAAGTTTGAGTTCTTTTCCATGAGATGCGAGACGAAAAACTTTGACATTCTTCGTCTGTGTGCAGGTGAGAGCGCGACTGCAGAAAATGGGAGCTCTTGCTTCCATGAACATCTTTTTGAGACAAGAGATCGACCGTATGCAGCGAGTGATCACTTTGGTACGGCAGACCCTGACTGACTTAAAGCTGGCTATAGAAGGAACAATTATAATGAGCGAGGTATTTAGGAATCTTTTAACGTTAAAAGAAGCTCTTTTTTTAAGTGGCTGCCCAATTTGCCAGTGAACAGCACAATTGCGCAATCATCATTCAAAGGAAAAATTTGATTGGCGATATGTGCTTGTGAGAAAACTTTTGTTAAAGAAAGCGAATACTCCATTAGTTTAAATAGAAATTATAGGGATGATCAGTTTAAAACTACGATGAAATCGCTCAGTGATGTCGCTGTTAATTTTTGTTTCTAAACTTGAGCTTCATGTTCGTTATTTTTTTCCAGAGACAAGTAAACAAAAGAAAAAGAAAAGCTAAACATAAACTAAATCAAATTGAACTCAAGGGAAAGCTTATGAAACCCAGTCCAGATGTCAAAATGTGCTTGAAACTAATTTTATATCCTTGACAATAGAATCTACGAGACGCACTGGACAACATGTACGATGCTAGAATTCCTGCGCTGTGGAGAAAGGTGGGGCATTTTCGTTTTAAAGAATGATAAAGAGAATAGTAGACAAAGTCTGACTGATGAATAAAGGGGTAAGTTTCTAAAGAAACTGTGATGCTGCGTCGGTGGGAGAGTATAGCAGGTAATTTAGTGTTAACAACTGGGTTGAAAACGTAAATTAGCCACCGTAAAGGGTAAAAAAGCTGACGTTTCGAGCATTAGCCCTTCGTCAGAGCGATTGAAGTCTGACTGAACTATTTCGTGAATGCGGTGTCATTGTACGGCAGGTTCATTCGCAAGAATAATCAATTCTGTGATAGCGGACACAATTTGCCTTTTTTTTTTCCTTCAGATCTCGTGGGAGTCATCGACCCTGGGTTTCTGGTTCACAGAGTTTCTGGAGAGGAACAACCAATTTTCTACATGGATTTTCAATGGCCGACCCAGTGTTTTCTGGATGACTGGTTTCTTCAATCCTCAGGGCTTTCTCACAGCAATGAGACAGGAAGTCACGCGCGCGCACAAGGGTTGGGCCTTGGACTCTGTAGTATTGCACAATGATGTCATCAGGGCAATGAAGGAAGACATAAATTCCCCTCCATCGGTGGGTTTCGGTAGTATTTATTTATTGGTAATAGCATACAATTCCTGGGGGTACTTTTCCCCCGATCCCCTATGACTGCCATGTTGGATTGCTAACGTAGATAGTGACTCTAAGGTGTCCAATGTCGTTTACAGTTCAAGAGAATGAGACATTTACCCTGACTAGCGCTCAAACTTTTACATTCACAAATCTTTAATATGCGCCCCTTCAGATAAGCATCGTGGACCTATGTCTTTTAACAATACTTTCTTGTTACTATCATAACAGGAAGGTGTGTACATATATGGCTTGTACCTGGATGGTGCTGGCTGGGACCGCCGTGGCTGTAAACTAATTGAACCTCAGCCCAAAGTTCTCTTCACCCTTCTCCCTGTGGTACACGTGTATGCTGTGAACTCCACAGCACCCAAGGACTCCCGTCTGTACCAGTGCCCCGTATACAAGAAACCGCAGAGGACTGATTTGACTTACATCACCCCGCTGTGGCTCAAGACTGTGCTGAGTCCTGATCATTGGATTCTTAGAGGGGTAGCTCTTTTGTGCGACATTAAGTGATTGGAATCTGGTGTAATTTTCCACTTCCATTTTTTTCTACTTTTGTGCTACACTTGACCTTAACCTTAGCACTCTTACTTTGGTATATTATTGAACTTCGTCGTTTAGATTGCGATTTTGGTCAAATGTTACGACTCTCAGTGTTCTTTTTATCTGATAAAACAAATAGTTCTGCAGAACGTTTCGGTCTTTCTTTTATGCTATATGTAAATTTAAAGAAAACATTTTTCAAGTATCAAAGAACGAAACGTTTTCAATAAAAAGTCTGTTTACAAAAAGGCTTGTTATTATATTTCTGTTCCTGAACAATGAAATAAGAAGATCTTAATAGAGACTGCATAAGACTTTCTACAAACTGTAAAGAACGCTTTCAGGGTGGCACCAGTATCTTTTGTTAAAGCAAATAAGCCTTAGACTCGACA